TGCCTGCCTCAGCTTTCGAGTGCTAGAATTAAAGGTGAGCACCACCAGGCCTGGCAGGCTTTTTTGTTGTTTCTATTGTTGTTGTTTTTCATCAGCTGTTCATTGTCAGAGAAGAAAAACACGTGACTTCTTTATCATTGCAGTATTTTCTGCCTTGTTACTGATTTTCTTAAGATTTATATATTTGTTTATATTTGAGAGAGAGAGAGCAAGAGAGCGAGAGAGAGCGAGAGAGAGCGAGAGAGAGCGAGAGAGAGCGAGAGAGAGTGAGAGAGAGAGAGAGAGAGAGAGAGAGAGAGAGAGAGACCGAGAGAGGCCAGAAGAAGCGAAGCTACAAGCCAACTTGGGTATCAGGAATCCAACTCATCCAACTCATTCTTCTGGAAGAGCAGCAACTATTCTTAACCAGAGCCTTCTCTCCAGCACTGTTTTTCTTAGAGCCATATCCATTCATCTTTGAGCTGTTCCTTCTAGAGCCCACACTAAGATTCTCATTTAGGCTGGTTGTCTTGCTGTCCTACTGAACAACTTAATCTTGACCCCCACCACCAACCTTCTTTAGACTGTTAGATGATGTTGACTCTGACTGATCTTGGCTTTTCTAGATTTCAGTTTGCTACAGTTTACTCTTTTTTACTTAATTTTTTTATTTTGGGGAAATTTTCATATGTGAGTACTTTTATTTGCTTCGGTATATTCAATTTCTTAGAAAGGGACCATAGATGAACTTGTTAAGTTTTTGTGTAACTATTAAAAATTCCCTTGCCTTACAATTTCTTTCACTGGTTATCTATACAACTTCCTGAATTGCTCAGTTCTTAATTCATACACAGTATCTAGTGTCATTAATGTGAAATACAGTATTAATCTGATTCTTCCTTTTCTAGGTGATCTATTTCTTTCTTTTTGAAAGCTGTTAATATCCTTTGAGTTTTGGAAATTCTTTTTTAAATATTTTATTTTGTGTGTGTGTCTATGTGTAAGTAAATATAAACATAGATAGATGCCTGTGGGAACCAGAGTTGTTGGATCCTCCTGGAGCTGGAGTTACAGGTAGGTGTAAGAGGCCTGATGTGGCTGCTGGGAACCGAACTCAGGTCACATCGAAGAGCAGTACCTGCTCTTAGGCTGAGCCATCTCTTCAGCCCCAGCTCTGGAAATTCTTAATGTACGTAAATGAGGACTTGTTTTCCACTGAACTTGTTTGGTGCTTATGAAGCCTTTTCAGTTAAGATTGTTGGACTGTTTTTTTTGTTTTTTTTTTTAACTCTTAGGGAAAAAAATTCCCCTGCTTTTTGTGTTTTAATGTGGGTGTGTGCACACATGTGCAAATGCATGTGGAATCCAAGTCAACCTTACGTATCATTCCTCAGGAGCTGTCCACCTCGTTTTGTTTTCTAAGACAGGATCTCTCACTGGGACTTGGAGCTTGAAGGGAAGGTTAGGGTGGCTAGTCAGCAAGTTCCCAGTGTCTGTCTGCCTCTGCCTCTTCAGAACTGGGATTACAAGTACATTCCACCACACTCAGCTTTTTATGTGGTTGCTAGAGATCAAACTCAGGTCATTCTGCTTAAATTAAGGCAAGCAGAACCAATTGAGCTATCTTCCTAGCCCATTCTGGTATTTCTGTACTATGTACATTTTTTTTCTGCTTACATAACAAACTCCTCAAATTTATCTTCAGTGTTCCATTTTCCTTATTTTTCGCTTTAATTTTACAATCTTTAGTGTAAGCAGTATTACTGTTTAAACAATGAAGTCTGCCGTATGGTCTTCTTTAAAAGAATATATTAAATGGTGGACTAAAACAGTAATAGATTAACATTTAGGGTTTCTTTAATAATGATTAACAAAAAGTGGCTTGTCACATTAGTAGGAAAAGAAAAATTAAGTATTGGTTGACTGGAAAGATCTAATTTTACTCTTGTGCACTATATATTTTAAACATTTTGTAATAAGAGAACATCACATGTCTGTGTTAACTTTTGTTGCTGTGACCAAACTCCTGAGACGATAACCTACAGAAGGATTCATTCTGGATCATGGTTGCAAAGGTTTTAGTGCATGGTCAGCAGGGTTTGTTGTTTCTGAGCCACTGGAAGGGTGGAATATCATGGTGGAAGGGTGAAATATCCTGGTGGAAGGGTGTGGAGGAACAGCTGCTAGCAGTCAGGAAGCAGAGAAGCAGGCCTCCCAAGTCTGTTCTATACACCTGCAAAACTAGCATCACCTAGGCCTACATCCGCTGCCAGCTCAGGCAGTAGCCAAGCCAACTTGGACCATGGCTACATTGGGCTTGAGTATCACTTTCCTGAGTGCCCCTGCCCTCTTCTCAATGTAGTCTTCCAAGTGAGTTTGCTCTTATACCCTTAGCTTGCAGTGAGCGGGACCCAGCCACTTTCTGAAATGCCCTCAAGGCATCTTTCCTGGTGTCTTACTGCAGAATCCTGTTGTTTCTGTTGCTACTGTATCTTCTAGTCTTCAGCTTTTCTGACAAGACTACAACTTTTTCATACCCTTATACTCAACTTTTTATTCCAGTTCTCAATATAAACTTGACTTTAAAAAGCTAGTCATCCCCGCTCCACAGGTTGAATGCTGTGCTGCACTGAAATTCCCTTCATTGATTAAACCTCCCACAAGGTCTGAAGGTGTAGACAAAGTGTAAACAGGCTGCTTGCCACAGTGTGACACGAATGGGTTCTGTTCTGCTTCCCAGTAAAAGCCTTGTTCCTGTCTGAAACCTCACAAGCCTGCCCTTTACTGTCCATGTACCTGTTGGAATTCTGGTGCCCCAAGCGCCCACCAGAATCACCCAGCAAGCTCTACTCAAAACATTTTAAGCTTTTCTTGGCGTGCTTCTCCAGATTCCTCCTACAAACCAGTTCCAAAAGCTTGGAAACCACATTGTCAGGTTAGCCACAACACTGTCCCCCTCCGAGTACCAATTTTGTGTGTTTGTCAACTTTTTATCACTATGACCAAATATCTGATCATAACCTAAGTAAGAAAGGATGCATCTAGACTCAGGGCTTCAGTACATGGTCAGCTGGCACCATTGTTTCTGGGCCTCTTGTGAGGCAGAACAGTATGGTGGAAAAGAACTTAGCACCTTATGACAGTCAGGAAGCAGAAACAGGCAAGAAGGGACCAAACATGACCATCAAAGGCACACTCACAGTGACCTACTTTCTCCACAAGGCCCTACCTTGTGCTTTGCATTATCTTCCCAAAATGCCATCAAATTATGACTCCATCAGTGGATGAAGTTTTCATGACCCAGTCTAGTCCTAAAAGCCCCCTTAGTAGCTGGTAGCTATGCCTTTAACACATGAACTCTGGGGGGACAATTCAAATGAGAGCACAGGCCCATGAAATTGATGGGTAGAGATGTTCATCATCCTGTTATATATGAGAATAGCTAATACTTAATACCTTGACAAGCTGTCATATGTCCTGTAAAATGCTTTGTAGCCACTAACAACTATATTTCCAACATCATTTGATTTATCATCCAGATATTGATTATACTGTTAAATGGATGCTTGTTTATATTGTGGCAAAAAAAAAATTTATACTATTTTTTACTGACAGTATTTCAGGGTATGTGAGAGTCACATGGCTATGTGTGCTGCTTGTACTTTGTTGTGTTTCCAACATATATTTACAATCTGTAGAAATAACATGGGATCTTGAAGGGTAGGAGCTTATAGGACACTCAAGTTCCAAGGGGAATTAGTATTTTAGTATTAGTGAGTTATGACTTAAATCCCAGAGTTAAAATCGGATACAAAGTCTTTCCATATAGTACAGCAAAGAGTTAGGGTTTTGTTTTAAAGATTTTTAAATTTAAATTTTGTCTAGTTAAAATCTAAAACTTGAATCATGTTTTGAAATATACTTAAAATCTCTATTACTATGTTTTAAGTAGGGTTTCTCCCTGCCATCTTTGCAGCATGGGTTAGAAGTAAGCAAGCAAGCCAGCTAGAGAAGGCTGCTGAATATGGTATAATCAGAAATGCTCTGTGTCTATATGGTAAAGTTAGTGATTCTTGAACAATAATTTTCTATTAAAACCTAGATTAACTGGAATTAAGAAGATTGAACTATTTGTGATGCATTACATTTTGATTCTCTAAGGGGTACTCAGTAGAACTTTGGGTTGCACTGTTACTACCAGGAATCTTCTGCTTCAGTACATTCATACTGATTTATTTCCACTGTTTGTGAGAAATTCACCTTTAAATGAACTATTCTAGTTCTTTCCAAAAGGAAAGTTATGACAGAAAATTAAATTCCCGGTAAATATTAAACAGGTTTGTGTCAAAAGTAATATGATCTTTGGGGCTAGAGAGATGGCTTAGCGGTTAAGAGCACTGGCTGTTCTTGCAGAAGATCTGGGTTTGAATCCCAACACCCACATGACCGCTAACAACTGTATGTAACTCCAGTTCCAGGTGATCTGACAGCCTCTTCTGAGCTCCTCGGGCATTGCACAATATGGGTGCACTTACATACATGCAGGCAATACATTCATACACATAAAATAAAAAGTAATAAATAGTTTCTTTTAAAAAGTAGCATTATCTTTATTCGGGATTTGGTGTTCAATATAATGAGTTTTTCCCCAGTAAGCTAAGCTTATATATGTTGCATTCTTTAAGGTAGATGTATAAAGTTTTGGAAAGCACGACAATGAAAAAGCAGTTTTAAAAAAGTAATTCAAAAGTATTAACATAATAATTTTGACTGTTGTTTTCACACTACAAATACAATGGAATGGGTTTTCGTCTTAAAAATAAAAATGAATGCTCCACAGATTTCACTTGTTTTCCTTCAGTATAGGACCTAAGAGCACAAAAAACACCTATGGCTAACATCACCCCCATCTGATCTGTCCACTTTAGTATTTTAACTATGGTTTATATTTACATAGTTTTCTTTGTTAATTTTCTAGAGAAAATAGTTCATTCTCTGAAACGTTTTTGACTTATTTATAGATTGGTCAAAGAAAAAGTGATGTATGAAAAAGAAGCAAAGCAACAAGAAGAAAAGATTGAAAAAATGAAAGCTGAAGATGGTGAGAATTATGCCATTAAAAAGCAGGTAAAGCTAACACTTAAAGTATCATCTTAACTGATGTAGTCTTCACAATTCTTGAAGATGGTCCTGTTCGCTGTCTAAACTTGTATTTAAAGATTAGGAAACTGATGCAGTAGTTCACTCCTGTAATCCTGGTATTCAGGAGGCTGAGGCAGGAGGATCATTGCAAGTTGGAGGTCCACCTAGGGACATAGTGAGACCTCCATCTCAAGAACAAACAACCCCCAACTCCAACAAAGATAAGGAGACAAAAACACAAGTGAAACAACCACAGGTCACACATGTCTCTGTTGTTTGAACATGAGCATTATGGAATCTGTGCTGTTCACCACCAAACTCTTCTCCAGTTCTAAACACTAAATATAGAAATGGGCTAATCTTCTTAAAATATTTACATATTTAAATTTAGAAATATTTTCTCCAAACTGATGTGAATACCACCAAAATAAAGTAGATGCTATATTTCTCAAAAGCAGCCCAGATGTCCATTTACTTAGTGAATGGTAATGAAAGTGTGGTACATGCACATAGTGGGAGATTATTCAGCTGCAAAGAAAAACAAAATTACGAAATTTGCAGGGAAATGGATTGAATTGGTTGGCTTTGGGTGTTTCATACTTTTTGAGGAGTTGACCCATTGCTTGTAAGTTACTAATGAGCATCATGAACAGGATGATGATGGTTCAGAGTATCTCTTTACTCTTTTTCTAGTGGTTGTAGCGATAGCCTCTATTTTAAAAAAATTGAATATTTGGGATATCTTCATTGTATAATTATACTTCATATGCCATCTTTTAAATTATTCCTGACAGTTGTAATTCATTGTCACAAGGGAAAAGATTGTGGTTCATGGTACCCACAACTGGAACATGGTCTTGAAGCTCTCTCATGCTTCAGATTTCATGTTTATGCTCCTACATTGGATTGGAGACCAGAAACCTTCTTTCTTGCATTTTTATATTTCCTATGCTGGCATCATGTAGACATGTAGTTATCCCTCAGTATTCATGGATCCTCCTACTGAGAGCAAAATTCATGTATATTCAGGTTCCTTATACTCGGGTTCCTCATACAAAACGACATGTTCCTATACACATATTGCTATATTTTAAATCATCTCTAGATTACTTATGATACCTAATATGATGGTGTTATAGTGTTATGATGTATTCTTTAGGGGATAATGACAAAAATACTATAGATGTTTAATATAGATTGTGCATGTGTGTGTGTTTAGGTTTCAACTTACTCTTTGAATCTACAGGTGTGGAGCTGATGGATACGGAGAGCTGAATGTAGAGTAACTTATTGAATAAATTGGGGCAGCATATAGGAGAATGGACTTTTGTCCTGTTGAAGTCGGAAATTCCACCATTTTGATAGCTGAATACAAGATCTTGATCTGTAGTTTGAAATAGAATGAATATGTGATTTTGGTTAGCACTGCTTAAAATTCATTTCAGTAACATTAAAGCTTTCAAAAAATGTATAAATACACGTGTCCTAGTTTGTTTTTCTCACAGCAATGTGACAAAACACTCTGACCACTACCAACTTGAGGAGGAAAGGGTTTATTCAGCTTACATCTCCTGGGTCACAGTTTATTAGGGAGCCCAAGGTAGGAACTCAGGGCAGGAACCTGGAGGCAGGAGCTGGAGTACAGGCCACGGAGGAACGCTGCTTACTGGCTTGCTCCCCTGGCCCCTGCTTAGCCTACTTTCTTATGCAACACAGGCTCACCTGCCCAGGGGTGGCACCATCCACAGTGGGCTGGGCCCTCCCACATCACTCAACAATCAAGAAGGTGCCCCATGGACATGGCTACAGGCCACTCCAATGAAGGTAGTTCCCCAGTTGAGGCTCCCTCAACCCAGGTGTGTCAAGTTGACACTAAAGCTATCCAGCACAACACGTTTTTGATTTGTCATCAGTTTGATCTAATTCTTTGTATTCATCTTACTTAATTCTTATAAACTAATAGTTCCTCAGGAATTCCATTGAAGAGGAAATCTGAAATGTGTTTTCACTTTATGATTTTTCATATATTCAAACTAATCATATATACAAAAATAATTTAGTGTCATTGATTAAATGTCTCTTTACTTTAAAGTGAAATCAGGATCCTATGTTTGAAATTTCAACATTGTGCCTTATTAGTAAAAGATTTCTAGGTTCATTGTATTTCTGCCCAAGAAAATAGATGTGAATAAAGCATATCCTGTATATAATTCTGGTTTCTTGAGCTATGACAAAACTGTTAGAAAAAGAATGAAGGTGGGCTGGAGAGGATGGCTCAGTGGTTAAGAGCACTGACTGCTCTTGCAGAGGACCCGAGTTTGATTCCCAGTACACACATGGTGGCTAACAACCATCCGTAACTCCAGTTCGGAGAATCCGATGCCACCTTTTGACTTCCACAGGCATTGTATGACACAGATGCAATGGCACACATGCAGGCAGTACACTCATACACATAAAATAAAAATGATAAATATTTTTTAAAAAAAGAAAAAGAATGAATGTGCCGGCACCTACTGAGTTCCAATTTTAGTTCAGTATTTGTACATTAAATGATAGCTTTTCTGTTTTATTTGAGCTAAATAATTTCAGCTAAAGTTGGGGTTTTGTGCCCATTTTTCCAGAGGCTTTTGATTGAACATCATTTTTTGGACAAGTATTACCATGATATCTGTCTCTGGGAATCATTTAAGAAAACAAAGCTTCTATATTACCTGGAAAACAGGGCTAATTTTTGGTCCACTATCTGACTCTAACTTACTGATTGGGTTCCTAGATTGACTTTAGGCGGGGGGGGGGGGGTTGTTTTTGTTTTTGTTTTTTCTTTCAATCCAGCTTTGAATGGGAGATTTTTAGGTCCAAAATTGTCCCCTAGAATAAATATTCCTGTGCTTAATTCTTTAGTATTTGCTTTCAAGAGGAATAGGCAAGTTGAGATTCAGAGAGGTGCCACGCTGGTAATTTGGCTCAAGCTGCATGGGGAGAATCATCTCTGTCCTAAAATGAGGCACAAGGATAAGTAATAACTTTTTATGCATGGTAAGCGTCAAAACTATGAACCTGCTGGTCTTTGCTTTTCATTTTTCTTTACCTCCATCTTTCAGGGAGAACCTCCTGCAGTGTGCACACGATGTGATCAATAACTCAATAACTTTTCTCATGCAGTAATTATCTCCATGTGATATTATCTGAACACTGTTTTTCTTTATTACCCAAAAGATGCAGGAGATACTTATATAACCAGCTGATCCCATTTTGGATAAAGGTGCTTTGTGACAGCAGGGGGATGGTTTATTTTAAATAGCCTTTTAAAATAAATGCTGAATGAAAAGCTTTTCCCGTTAATTTTCACTTGCCATGAGAAAGTGATAACCAAAAAGGGGGGAAAAAAACTTTGTACAGATCTAAATAGAACTTTGTAGATTTTACAGTCTGATAATAAGCCCAGTTTAATTAGAGCTTTGACTCATTTAACATATTCATATTTTTTTCCAGCACCTCAAAAATCATTAGTTGTATACCAAGGTGCAAGATAAATACACAGACATTCTCATTTCAGGCGGAGATCCTGCAAGAATCCCGGATGATGATTCCAGATTGCCAGCGCAGGTTAGAGGCTGCATATACTGATCTGCAGCAGATATTAGTAAGTAAAGATTTCTTTGTCTTATTTTAAATTGTTTTCAACCTAATACATGAAGAGCCAAACTTTTAAATATTTAATATTAGATCTAGTTGAGATTTTTATTCGTTTGTTCTGCATCTTAATTTCTTTTCTTGTTGCTGTGATAAAATAGTCTGACAAAAAGCAACTTAAGGAAAGAAGAGTTTATTTTAGCTCAGAGTTTATCTTAGCTAGGACGTCACAGCAGCAGGAGCTTGAGAAAGCTGGTCACATTGCACCCACAATCAGAACAGAGAGCATTGAATACATGCATGCTTGTCTCCCTTGGTTAGGGAATGGTCTGGCCCTTAATTAAAGAGTCTTCCTGGGGCTAGAGAGATTGGCTCAGTGGTTAAGAGCACTGGCTGCTCTGGAAGAGGACACAGGTTCAGTTTCCAGTACCTACATGGTGGCTAACAACCATCTGTAACTCTAGTTCCAGGTGATTGGACACCCTCTTCTGACTTCCACTGGCATCGCATGACACAGGTACACTTACATGCATACAGGCAATACACTCATATACATGAAATAAAAATAATAAAAAATAATTTTTTTTTTTTCTTTTTGAAGCAGGGTCTCCCTGTAAGCCCCAGCTGTTCTGGAACTCACTATGTAGCCCAAGCTGGCCTTGAACTCACAGAGATCCGCCTGCATCTGCCTCTCAAATGCTGGGACTACAGGCGTGTACCACCATGTGTGGCAAAATAAAATATTTTTAAAAGATGAGTCTTCTGATATCAATTAATGTAATCAAGATAATTCCTCAAAGACATTCTTGGAGGCTAACTTTAATCTAGGCAGTCCCTCACATGTGTGCCTGGAGGCTTACTTCCTAGGTGTCAAGTTGACAGTTAATACTGACCTTCATATCATACACAGCACCGTTACTTTAAATGATTAATGGAGTTTAAACTGTGTCTTGAGTTATAACTCTGGTGAAAGTACTTTTCTATGATGTTTATTCTACTTAGTTATTAAATATTTGAGTTATAGAAGCAGGTATACATAGTACCAATATTGACCAGCAATATCTTGAATTATTTGGTTTTTATGCAGGAACTTGAAACAGCTAGTAACATTATATCCACAGACAAGAGCAGAGAGCAATGAGTTAATGTTCTCAGGTGATAGATTGTACAAGCTTTTTGTCAGAATTATACACAAACATATCACTTTAAGCTATAGCTTTCACCCTTTGTCCCCAAACTCTCATGTTTATCTCATAATGTATAAGCCAACTGCTTTGTTTTGTTTTGTTTCATTTTGAGACAGGTTTTACTGTCTGGTTTTTACTGTCTGGTTTACTGTGTAGCCCCAGCTGTCCTGGAATTCACTTATGTAGACCATCCCGGTCTGGCCTCCATCTCATAGAGATCCACCTGTTTCTGCCTCTAGAGTGTTGGGATTAAAGAGATGCACCACCATGCCCAACCCTACAAGCCAACTTTTAAAGTCTCTATAATTTTTGAAAATTCCAGTATTTTAAAAGCTAAAGTCTCTTAACTGAATTCTTATAAAATCAGAAATAAGTTATTAACTCCTAACATACAGTAGCACAGAGTAAATATTACTATTTCAAAATGGAAGAATCGTGGCATAACAAGGGATGAACAAACCAAACCCAAAATGTAGCAGTGAAAATACCAAATTGTGTAGCTAACATGTCTAGCATCTTGGACTTATAAAATTGGCTGGGCTCCACAGGCTTAGACAACCCCACACTCATCCAGCTCTGCCACCTTCACCACATACAACTTCTCTCTTAGGCTTAGGCCAGCTCTACTCCATGCCTGCAGCCATTCTTGGTGAATGTTCCATGATCCTGACATCTCTAGTATTCTGGTGTCTCCCCTGTAACTTAAGCTTCACCTTCATAGCTTCATACCATGGCCTCTTGGCCTCTCACAGGGACTCTAATCCTGCCACAAGTGCCTGACCTCAGCTGTTCTCCATGACCTCCTTAGTGTTGCATCTTTTGGGGGGGGGGGTCTTTTTGAGACAGGGTCTCCCTATAGCCCCAGCTGTCCTGGAACTCACTATGTAGACCAGGCTGGCCTTGAACTCAGAGATCCGCCTGCCTCTGCCTCCTGAGTGCTGGGACTAAAGGCATGTGCCTTTATGACTTCAAAACCAGTGCCACATGGACGATGTTGCCTGGTTGTGCTGACAGCTCAAGATAGCCCAGCCCCTTTAAGCCAAACCTGTATCAGCTTCTGAGTACAGACCTTGAACAATCACTTAACAATGCAGTTGTGTTCAGCTAACAGGAAACTTTCCACCTAGGCTTTCTTTCTGTAATTGAACTTGGATCTTCTCAAGATAGAGCCTCTGGGATGGGGTTTGCCCTCGGGATATCTTTTTCTATTCTCTCAGTGCAGCTCAGGAGGCTTCTGTACAGTGGTACTGATCTTTCTATCAATTAAAGCTGCTTCTTCAGTCCAACCTGAATACCATCCTGCCTTGAAATTTCCTTTGTCAAACAAGTCAATCCATTATCTTTAATTCAACTTCACTCAGATTCTTGAAACATGAACAAAATGAAGCCAGATTCTTTGCCAAAATATCACACAAATGGCCCCTAGCCCAGTTCCTGATACAGTCTTTGCTTCTCCCTTATCTTATGATCTAGGCCTCTAGGGTCCACATTTCTGTCAGCATTCTTGTCTTCCAAGCTCCCAGTAGAGCTGTGCATTAAGCTCCACTTCCAGCATTCAATGGCTTTCATAGTCTAATGTACTGAACACTCCCACATTCCTCCCACAAAACATCTAGTGGCTGAAAGGCAACATGGTCAGGTTTATCACCGTTACTACCCTACCTCTGGTACCAATTTCTGTCTTTGTTCACTTTCTTTGTGATAAAATACCCTGAAAAAAAGAAACCCAGGGACAGAGGCTTATTTGGCTCACAATTCTAAGTCTGTCATTACTGAAAGTCAAGACAGCAGGAACTTGAAGGAGCCAGTCACATCATATGTATAGTTAAGAGCAGAGAGCAATGAATTCATGTTCCCAGATGATTCAAAAGAATATCAAGTTGGTAATTAAAAATAGCCACTATGAGGCTGGAGAAATGGCTCAGCAGTTCATAGCACTGGCTGCTCTTGCACAGGACCTGAGTTCAGTTCCTAAGCACTCACACAGCAGCTAACAGCTATCAATAACTCCCGTTCCAGGGGATCTGATGACCTCTTCTGGCCTCCATAGGCATTGCATGACATGGGTGCACTTACATACATGCAGGCAAAGCACTCAGACACATAAAAATAAATAAATATTTGTTTTAAATAAATACCCTGACAAAAAGCAATTTCAGGGAGAAAGGATTTATTTTGTTTTACAGTTCCAGGTTATAGTCATTATTGTGGGGAGGTTAAGGCAGCAGGAACTTAAAGCAATTAATAACATCACATCCACAGTTAATAGTAGAGAGATAAATGCATACAAGCTTGCTTGCTTGTTCTCAGCCAGATTTCTCCACTCTTATATAGTTCAGGAGCCCCTACGTAAGGAATAATGTTGCTCTACAGTGAGCTGGGTTTCACATCCATCCCCTACAGGCCAACCCAATGTAGATAATTCCTCACTGGAAGTTTCTTCATTTCTAGGTTGTGTCAGATTGGCAGAGCTAACTATTGCGACTATAATGCCATTGTTGCTATTTGATGATGGATGAACTCTAACGTTTCCTTTACTAATCTTACTTTTATGTTTATAATTCTTGAGCTGATATTAGATAAAAAGTTGTTCTTTTTTGTGACTCATAGTTGTTCCTTTAGGAGAATAGTAGACATTTTCAGTATACTCATATGTAGTCTAGTAAAGAGAATGAAATTTTTGTTTCCTACCAGATTCTTACAAGATCTATACCAAAAAAAAAAGAGAGAGAGAAATGTTTCTATGCTAATTTTGGCATAGAACTCTGTATCTGTAATGTACTTCTTAAATGCAGAGTGATTCTTCACAATTAAAAAAGAAACTGCAGCTTTAGAATAAATACATAAAGCAAGAAATAATCACTGTGTTAAAATACTACATAGAAACTCCATTTGTATTTCTTAATTTCAGTGCCTTTTTTCTCTCATAAATCTATTAGCTGAGAAAATAATATAAATTTTAAAATGTGTTTGGATGTTCGTGTGCTCTCCCCAAACTTACATTTACTGATCGAATAGCTGTATTAAGTTACAATGTACATGCTTAAGGATTTGTTACCTGTTGTCGTGAGTTCAGCTTTTTGCATTAAATGTTCATATTAAATACACGTTATTGCTTGTTTTTGACCTTACATGAATTGTTTACCAGAGTCCATTCAAAAATCACTTCTTCTAGGTATGAAAATGTAGGCATTATTTCATTAATCTGTTACCATTATAGTATTAGTAAAAATTTCCTCTATATTAATGTATGGAAAAACTTAATCTTTAAATATCAGAAAATGAAAGGTGTTAATATTTTGTTTGTACTCATGAAAAAATTGACATCTCATTTTTCTAATTCAGATTGTGTTGAACTCTGGTATGGTATCAGTAATTTACATTGTGAATAATTAGAGAATTGTTTTGGTTATGTTGTTAACACATTAGCAAGTTCATTTTTACTTTTTTTTTTTTTTTTTTTTTTTTAACTTCACGTATGCATGCATCCCTGGAACTCTACATAGACCAGGCTGGCTTTGAACTCACAGAGATCCACCTGCCTTTGCCTCCCAAGTGCTGGGATTAAACGTGTGCACCACCATGCCCGGCTTCATTTTTACTTTTAATACATTGTTAATATTCTGTTTGTATTATAACATTAGGAAATAAAAATAAATTTTTTAAGGTTTCTGAGGTTAGGGGGCTGGAGAAATGGCTCAATGGTTAAGAATACTGGCTGCTCTCAGAGGACCTGTCTATAACTCCAGTTCCAGGGGATCCATGCCCTCTTCTGACCTTTGTGGGCTTTGCATGACACAGGTGGACTTACATACATACAGGCAATACACTCATACACGTAAAATAAAAAATAATAATGTTTTTAATTTTTTGAGGTTTTTATTTAATTTCTTAATACCAATAGCTTTAGGCAACTTTTCTTAACTTACAGGATGAGAATATATTATATGAGAATATATAATAAAACCAAGCCACCTTAGCATTTCCTTTTTTCTTTAGCAAAAGAATGGAACTGTGGGATATTTGGAAAACCTGGAATCCTTTTAATTCTTATTTACTCTTAATGGTTTGTAGTATTTGAGTAAATAGCAAAGTACTGAAATTCCTGAAGGATAAACCTAATTTCTACTAATTTTCATTTCAGGAAAGTGAAAAAGACTTGGAAGAAGCTGAAGAGTATAAAGAAGCCCGTTCAGTACTGGATTCAGTCAAGTTAGAAGCTTGAAACTTTTCTGTAACAGGGTGTTTTGCATTAAGTCTGGGGTCGATTCTACAATTCATGATTCTTGACCACTGCTATGTGTTTAGTAAATGAGAATGTGCTTCTTTTTATGCAGTTGCATATATTTTTCTTTGCATAACTTAACGTGTCAAATAAATGAGTTCATTTAATAAAATTGTTTACTTCATACTTTACAAAATTTTCAATTAACCATTCAATTACATGGTTTTCATTAAATCATATAAATATTTTTGACTGATAACTAAAATATTAATTTCTGTCTGAAGTTTTAATACTTTATAATCATGGATTGAGTTAAAAAATAGATTACCATGATTTGAATAAAGATCAAAATTTTCTCCAGTTTATTTTGAATAGATCACAACTCCTGACACAAAAAGATGAGACCTCAGACATTTATCCCTTTATATGTCATTACTATAAACCAATGACAGATCTTTTTCCAGAAAGACAAGTTTACACAAGAAACATCAGTCATTTAGATTTTCAAGTAAGAGTCTTATAAATAGTGATGAATTATGTTTTAAAGGAATAATAACTCTTTCTGTTTCGGTGGTATGCTGGGAAATGTTCCCAGTCTCTTCAAAATGGAAGAGAATTCCCTGACATAGAACTTTTGTCAGTTTTTGTGGTGCACATACCCCCACTGGGAACAGTGTCAAGCTGCTGGCATGGCATCTCAGAGTTGGGAGAAGACACAGTTCCCTCTAGTATATGCTGCACTACCAAGTGTGGGCTATATTTTGTTGTTTTCTTTGTTGTTCTTGTCTGAAATACTGGGGTTTAACCTAGGGCCTCATACATTAGGTAAGTGCTCTACGACTAAGTTGCATCTCCAACCCTGTGGTATTTTGGTTTGGGTTTTCACTTGTTTTGTTTTAATTTTTCACTTTTGAGATAGAGTCTCACTAAGTTGCTCTGGCTTGCTTTGAACTCATGATGTAGCCCAGGCAGGCCTTGAACTTAATATTCCCCTGCCTCAGGCTCCTGAGTAGCTAGGGTTACAGACCTTGATACAGCCAAACTGTCTTGATTGACAGGAAATAAGTATTTTTTAATACAGTATTTTTCCAGCACAGTTGTAAACCTATTACCTAATCATCTGAGTCTTTTCCAAAAAAAAAAAAAATGTAACTCATTTAGTTTCATATATACCTAGAACATATGAATATGAACTTAGGAACTTCATGTATATGAACTTCAAATCCCCAGTGTATCATGAGCATTGATATAAAGAGCCAGAACAATATTAAATAACATTTAAACTGTAAAGCTCACAATGGAGGAAAGACTTTTGATGCTAGAACATACTTAGAATGGTATGACTGGAGAGATGGCTCAGTGGTTAAGAGCACTGACTGTTCCTGCTGAGGACTCAGGTTCAGTTGCCAGCACCCACACGGCAGCTAACAACCATCCTTAACTCTAGTTCCAGAGGATCCAGTGCCTTCTTCTGACCTCCTTGGGCATTGTGCAACATGGGTGCACTTACATACATGCAGGTAAACACTCATACACATAAAATAAAAATAAAATTTTAAGAAACATAATGGTAGCATGATCTGGATTTCAGGGTTGCAAATGAACACTAGAAATCATAGCATATTTACTGAAGCTTTCAAGATTGGAGAAAATACCCTTTCCTAATGCTATTTCTAAAGCCTCCTATTACAAAGTGAGGATGCCCATGCTCAGTTCGTAATATCTCACTTGTGTCAGTCCTGGGAAGTCCAAGTTCTTCCTCAGTGGTCCTGGACAAAGGCTTTCAGGCTGTACTCTTGATCATTTGTTTTTCAGAATGAATGTTAATTTCCCAATAACTAGATTGCCCTTCCTTTAACCTATTTTGTGCCATGTAAACAGTTCCTTGGGAAGAAATAGAACTGTGAAAAAGAAGAAAAAAGTACACTGTAAGAATAAGTACATGTTTATTTTATAAGGAATGAGAACTGGTTAAAATAATATATTGTAGTGTTCCTCTAACGTTTTTCAACTTCCTGGACAGCAACATTCAAAGCCTAATGTTTTACAATTGCTTTTATGCCTATACCTATACACTGAATCTCCTCCAAATTGAGCAGTCAAACCTGTTTAATCTAAATCACTTTGCAAACTTCATTACATTAGTTGGCTTTTTAAAAATCCTATCAAATTTAATAAGGACATATCCTACAGCTGGTTATCATTTAAATCTTATTATTTGGTCATTTAGATAAACCAAGGACAGATTAATCCTTTCTTTGATGGCGAATTGGGGCCTTTAAATGTCAGTGGAAACTTGACATGTGTGAGAGCAAGAGCTGTGGAGCATTTGGCAGTAAAGGGTTAATCGGATGATTTAGTTCTTGAAGCTCCTGTGAGTGCTTTAGCTGGGCAGAAATTGAATGGTTCAGAAATGGTATACTATGAAACAAATTATAAGTATTAGTGTACTTCAGATTTTCAAGAGTGCTTTATAAATTCTACATTGCACTCCACTATTCATCGCACTTCTCTTATGAGAAGCATTTGTTCATCCATTTGTGCACTGTTGCATAGAAAGGTAGAATTACCTTGCAGTAGACCTGCACCTTCCTTCCAGTTTGTGCTTTCTGTTGATTGCTGGATAGTTGGTAGGGTGCTTTCATAGTTTCAGAGGGAAATATTTTCAGTCTGTCACAAGATGGGACTATGGGAAAAAGACAAAGGATAAAAACACATGGTTCACAGGGGAAGAAATGCAAATGAAAAGGTTTTTAAAATGTTCTACTCCAATAGTAATCAGATTCAAGTTTTAAATGTAGTGAAGCAGAATTTTAAGATAATGAATACCTACTTGTTGACCTGGTATGATTAGTATCAGCCAATGAGATTAGAGAAAAGGAAGAAGTGAGAAGTAAACACTGGAAAAGATACATACATCATTTCATTGTAAGAAGATGATGAGTACCTGGAACACAGAAGAGTCAATAAGCAATTAAGTTAACTCAATCACTTTTAAAATGTGCAGAATTGCGATGACTTGAATTATGTAACCCAAAAAGGCATATTAAAGACCTAACTCCCAGAACTCAAGAATGGAGCTGTTTGTAAATGGTGTTCTTGTAGAAAGAGATGAAGTCATCCTGAAGTGGATTAATCCATCTAATCCCATGACTGATATCCTAGTAAGAAAACATGCAGACACGGAGAAGGCCATGTGACAACACAGAGATTGCAGATACATTGCTGCACAGAACACCACCATGGTACCAGACACCAAGAGAAAGGCATGCAACAGTCTCCCCTGGGGTCTCTATTGGGTCTAACCATGCTGATAACTTGATTCCAGACCTGTAGCCCACAAAAATGTGAAACACTGTTTTCAGACACCTAGTTGATGTTTTGTATAGCAGTCCTGGAAAATGAACACTAGAACTCAATCTGTGTGCTGGCAGCAACCAAATATAAAAGGAAAAAAAATGAGCTCCAGGTTGCCAAAGAACACCTTTAAAGAATGACTTGTACAAATATGGAGCAATAATATTGTGAACGTTTCTCCCTCTGCCGATCTAAATTCAGTGAATAAAGTACCGCAGGGTTAGGAGCAAGGAGTTTGGGGACCTGACTCCAGTTAAACTTTCTCAAACAGGCAGCAGTGTCTGGGAAAGAATATTAAGAATGGGGAGGAGACTAGTTCTACCTACTGCTGCGGATTACTAAGTTACAGTAATATGCGCCCATTGGGTTTGATCCCGAGCAACCCCCCAAAAAAAGTTTCATAAAAGGATAGAAAATGAAAGAAAATTAGGTCAGGAGCAAATTTATATATATATATAATTAAATAGCCATATAAATTTACATGTGCATATATAAATTCCATGTATGATAAAGGCTATTTCAGATCCCTGGAGGAAAAGTAGATAATTCAATAACTAGCTATCTGTTTGGGCAACAAAATAAAACCTATACCTATAAAAATGCATTTAAAGAGGGGTGTGGTGGCACACATCTTTAACCCCAGTACTCCAGAAGCAGAGGCAGGCAGACCTCTGAGTTCAGGGCCAGCCTGAGCTACGTAGTGAGACTCTTCTCAAATGCATTTAAATTAGTCACAGATAACCAATATGAGAAGGAAAAAAAAAAAAAGCTGGAAGAAAACAGTGATAAAGCAAATTAACAGAATTTCTCAGTTGATCCAATAAGTGAGAAAAGGAAAATTTAATGCACTCTTAGGAGAATGTTTTAAAAATGATTCTCTATAAATTAATGTATAAATGTAACCCAACAAGTATCAAACTTAAGAGATAGAGAATAATCATGAGATTTCCTAAGGGAGTCTTGAAAATTAGAGTAGATATGGGGGGGGGCTGTTTCAGGAGTTGAATGTAGGAAGCACTAAAGTGGATATTGAATTTGAAAACGACCACACTGAGAGGAGTGAATCTGGTGTAACACTAAACTGTCAGCAGAATGAATGGAGAAGCTAAGCCATACCCATGTGTCAACATGCTTGCCTGCTGGAGCTGGCATCTCTACTCCAATAAATGGAATTAGGAAAGTCAATTACATGCTGAGGAAAATGGGGCTGGGGAATGAACATAGCTTAATGCTGGAGCACTTGCCTACCATGCTTGAGGCCTGTGTTCCATCTCATCCCAGTAGCAAAAAAAAAAAAAAAAAAGTACATTTCCATTTTATCCCACACAACAAAATAAAACAAGTGGATTAATTTATGCAACGAGTATTTCTTTGGTCTCTTAACTAACCAAGCACTAATCTGGTGCTAGTATGTGCTTGAGTATACAGTAATGGAGGTTGACAATGGACCAACAGATGAAGTATCAGTAGCATATTGTGTGCATGGAATTTAAACAAAGTGGTGTGGTAGAACACAGCTAGGTGATCAGAGAAGACTTCTCTAAAGCTTCTCTAGAGAGAAACTGAGCTCTAGATTAGAATCTCAACAGACTAGTACATTCCAAGTAAAAGTTAGGTGACATCTAAGAACATTAGAGAAAGGCTGAGGCCACCTGAGTCATTGGGAAAAATGATAAAATTTGTAGCTTTTGAAATCCAAGGATAGAAATGGAGATTTTAGGGGCTGGAGAGACGGCTTAGCAGTTAAGAGCACTGACTGCTCTTGCAGAGGACCTGGGTTCAATCCCCAGCACCCACATAGTGGCTAACGACTATTTGTAACTCCAGTTCTAGG